CCAGAAGATATAATGATCCAAGTTTGTGGCCTGAAAAAGTTGTACTGCAAAGATATGCAGAGTAAGTATCTTGAAGATTAGAAGAAAAAAATATACTGCACTATGTTCACACTTGGAATAAACATGCTGAGAAAAAACACAACTGTAAATGAAAACCATTTCTTTTGGCTGATGGCCCAGATGCGGAGACAGTTGAAAGCTAGTTCAGTAAAGATTAGAAACTTGTTGAATATTATATTAAGTGATAGATACTTGCCTGTAACTGCAAAGAAGCATACTATATCAATAATATATAGCAAAATGTCCACAGCTTCACAGCTAGTGAGCATATTCATTATTATTAATATAAGTTATTATAAGAGAGTTATAATACCTCTATAGAATAGTTCAGAATTTGAATGAAAGAATATATTATGCTATTATGCATAACTCACAGAAGCTGCTGTGAAATTCCAAAAGCATGCAGTGGTTTGAAGAGACATATCCAGAATAGTGCCGTATCTAATGAGCACATAGAGGAGAGTGACTGCAGAGAATTTTCTATTCCAGATGCACTTCCATTCTTGAGGCCATGTCAAAATGGCATCATAGACAAGCAGAGCTAAAATATAGATTATTTGCAAGGTATTAGACAATGAAGTTAAAATGGAACAGACCTAGTGCTGCAAGTTGAACATAGGCTGCAAGATAATTCTGTGAACTAAGTTATGGCAATTAGTAATAAATATGCTATTTATTCTAGCAAGCACAACATACACTTGTAGTATGATTTGATCTGGTGTGAAACCTAGCTCTGACATGGCAGAGTAAAAGATGGATTGACTGAAGATTTCAAATTGTTAATAAGAGAGAGGCAGAGGAAAACTCAAACGTGCTGAGCGCTCACCATCCAAGCAAAGTCCATATAATATATGAGCCCACTTCTGATGATATCTGAGTAACCATGGGAGTGGAGGAACTTTCTTCTCAACTTAGTTGCTGAGAATCTTCACAGCCGACAGATAGGCCATCTCATTAACGCGAGAGTAACCACGAAGCCTTTCCTTCCACCCGCAAACACATCCCATCCCATCCCATCCCATCCCATCCCATCCCATCCCATCCCATCCCATCCCATAGCGACCATCACCCCACACACAGCAACGAACTCACCTCGATGATGACTTCCCACATTCTTTCGACGCGAGGAGATTCAGTGATTCGTGACGTAGGCAGCGGAGCCTACGAAAGTGACAGGGTTTTATTCAGCAGGTAGAGAGGCTCTCATATACAGCAATATGAAATGACCTAAAGGGACACAAAGCGGACGGGGAGTACATAGCGAGATCAGGCAAGAAAGGCATGACACGCATCGCATTCATCTGTCAAGTGCGCAATCACATTGAACCGCCTACGAGCCCAATGGCACGATAGACATGAACTGATGTGTACGAGTTGCTGAACTTCCCAAGGCTGATCTTCGAAGAGTTGTAAGTGCATGCTTCTAGATCTCCCATCCACATCTTAGGACAACAGAACCCCTTCAGATTCGTCAACTATGATCTCAAGCAATGCCACCACGGTCCCCGAACACCCAGACTGCCCTCCAATTGCCACAGTCAAAACCTGGCACACTCAGATCCAAGCCCAACCAAACATTCGAGAGACTGTTGCAAAGACCAATGGATCCAAGAGAAAACGCACCATGACAAAGACGAAGCTATTTCGGCACCCAAACTGTCCCAACTCCAAGTTCATACATACTACGAGTGAAGCGGCCTGTACTAACAAGTCATCCGTATGCACAAGACTCGACCACGCGGCGTATTCGAAGAGTGACGAATGCGAATGACAGTTGCTTGGCTGGCCGTACGACCTGATCGACCGCAAGACTGTACGATAGTCTCAGCTGGACATTCCGATTCGAGAGGTTACAGGGAATTCGTCATAGGACAGCGAACGTGCAATGCAGTAATTGCAAATGTCGTGGGACCTGAAACTATCAGTAGCCTGAATGACCTGATGAGTGCAATCGAAAACACATCTCGTCTCGTCGTCTTTGATTCTGGAGAAGGACCCGTCGAGACCATCAGTGGTGACATGATGTATTGACAAATTGCGTTGAGAGGGAAGATGACAAGCGTTGTCGAGGCGGTTGGATTCATACCAGGGCTATAACAATAAACTGATTTGAAAGCGGAGTTTGGCAGGGAAGCTTAGAAAACGGGTGAGACGGCGGCTGAGGGAAGGCTGTATACAAGGCCTGAGGCTTGAAACCTAAGTTATTTCTGTCATTGGAGGCTTCACTACGAACAGAGATGGAACAAATATCATGATGAGGTCCGTAGTTGTAAGAGCAAGGGAACAACGCGGGACGCCGTGTGGAAGATCAAGCATGTAAGCTCCTTCCAGGGATCGTGAGAATCACGAGGGAAGTGCATTAATTGCTTTTGAGTACAAATTGTCCAGAAAACGGCGGCAACATCTCTGAGTATACGAGCTCAACAAAGGCATGCTGTGTAACGCGATTGCTGTCGTTCGAGAAGGTGGGGACCAGATGTGTTAGAGGTACGGCCTGAGATAGCGAAGGAGGCGATATGAGGGAGGGACGAGACGTGAATGGAGGCGAGACCGGAAGTCGAAGTACATGCAGTCAGATGATGGAAGGAAGACTAGGATGACGAGCGATCTCAGCAAAGCAACAGAGAAGTAAGAACACACCGGCCCAGGTCCATTGTCAGCACCCATCGAGGGATGCGCTGCTACTACATACTCGAGGTCTCAAGTTCAACTGAGCTCAAGAAAAGTGAAGGGCTCCAATCCAATTCACCGGTGAGAGTTGCTCACGTGGTCCTCGATCATAGTTGATCAATCGATCATCAACCATCCTCCCTGGCTGCTGCTGTGTCGCGAATCGTCTTCAGGATTGGAAGTCGTGTTCAGTTTCATGGCATTTTTTAAATTATTATCGTATGTATCCCACCGTCTTCTGCTCGATCTCCTCTTACATACAGTAAGTACTTACGATAGCGAAGCATGCAAGGGCGAATGAAAGGATTGTCCATCAGACGCTACAGAAAGCTCAGCTCCGTAACAGAGACAGTAACATTCATTCCTCAGCTCGGCTGATTCAGATCTTCACCTCCTGCCAATATTGCAGGACTCACCACTTCTTGGAGGTCAAACCCGTGCTCCAACGCTCGGCCAGCCTCATCTGCGGAACGCAAACAACAACCAACAGACTTCCAAATTCTCGTGGATCGCACTGAGTGGCTCACCGTCTGCTCGGATGGTTAATGCGAGGGAAATGGAAAGCTGGTATCCGCAAAGGGGACCCAAGCTGCGTCTTCATTCTCAACGATTTCTATTCTATTTGACTATCAATAGACGCGGCCACAGGAGTATCGCAGAACGATGTTCGAGAGGACAAACCATCAATCGCGTGGAATCCATGGGAACAGTAATTGAATCACATTCTTAACGTGTCTTCTCACTGAATTGTTTTCTAGGCGATTATTTAGGTATTAGGGACCACGCCAAACACTAAGCATCACCTCAACGAATCAGACTCGAAATATAGCATATGATATGGGTGCATGTCTCACACCTACCGTTTTCGACTCAAGAGAATCTTCTCACAGGTTTTAAAGACTGGCTACCGAAGCCCTATCTTTCAGTCACTCTGGCCATCGTTGTGTAACCTCTTCGTGTCGTATGACGAATACTCGAGCATCACGGAGAACAACACTGCTCATTTACCGAGCCTGTCTGTCTTCCCTTTGTTCTACCTTGGTTAATTGCAACGGCGCGGTTTCGCGCATCCACCCTGAGACACCTAGTTCTGTCTTGCAATGTCGGCTGAACGACGGAATTCTCATTTCATCAAGTCAGACGTCGAGCGAAAATTTTCCACATGTTCCGGGGGCTACGTTTTTCGTGCTCGTTACTTGAAGATGCCGCTTAGTATTCAGGATGCACGATCTGCCTAACAAGCTGAAACTATAGGAGTCTAGTCATTGTGTGGAGAGTGAAATGGAGAAAGATTTGATGGTTGCGGTTGACTCTGGCAACATGAAGAAGTGTGTCAAGGTGAGTTACGCGCTGTAACTTAACATCCAGTGTTCCGACCACCTGAAACTCGACAGCAACAGCTCTTGACTTCATTCAAGAATGTTTCACTCCTCGAGGTTCGTCGTATCCCCTTCAGAGACACTTTCGCTGCCGTCATCTCATTGCCACCCCACACAACGCATCATCGGTGGTTTCGAACTTTCGACCCCCGTCACCCTTGACCTTGCTTTATAGCAAGTAGTTTACCAGCGTTCTGGCCATGCGCTACCGGAAAGACTTAGCGTTCACAATATGCGAATAGAACGCCTCACAGAACCAGTTGGCTTCTGGTTAACCTTGCAACCATCCTTCATCTTCCTGATCGTTTTCATCTTGGTAGAGATGATCTGTAGGGAAACGCTGGAATTAAATGGCATTTGATACCTTCTATCATATCACACGAAGCAAGCGTTATCGCGCGGTTCCCGAGCATAGCAGTCAGGGCGAAGGCTGGGTTTTATTGATAATCCAGAACATCGACAATCGTTATCAGCACCCGATTGTAACGCAACACCAGGTACACAGTGGCGATGTCAGCTTTCGACTCTTGAGGCTCTCGCCGAAGTGGGGGATCAGTCGGAGGTTGCACAATTTAGCAAATTGTGCGACCTTGAGTTGTGTTCTGGGGAACACCTCATGATTGTAGATGCACTCTGTACCGGCTGTTGGCCACCTCGGAATAATGTTGGACTTTGACATCGAAGTCTCTATCCGCGAGGAGGGGTGCCGATATCCCTTTGAGAATCATGAATGCTACTGCGACTTTCGGAGGCGCATTTTGGGACTTCAAGCTTCCAGTTTCTGGTTATCCGTCGTGACCGGAATCTTGGGCATACTCCTTGCTTTCAGGAAGGAATTAGTCTAGTGGAAATCGCAATTGTTACTTGACATCATTACATTATAAATCACTACGGACTTCTCAGCCTATATTTAGGCTTTTTGGTCGTTCGGAAGTGATTTTACATCCCCACTGCTCAGTCCTTGTTAGTAGCTCGGTGAACTATCATTCATCCTATGTCAATCGTTGCCGATATCTGCAACCATCTAGATCAGTCCGCAGATCCCAGTTTATGTCCTCGTAACTTCATTGCGACCTCCTGGATTTCGCGGAACTTTCGCTCTTCATCTGCCAATTCAGCTGCAGTAAGAGGTTCACCCTTTGGGCCTGTGCGAATTATTCTCATCGCGTCTGACAAGGTTGAATATGGAGAGATTTCCCGGGAATGCATCTTGTTAATCGTGCACTAAGAACCAGAGTTATCAGCACTAGATCTCATCAACTCCATAGAAGTAACTTACCAATCGCTGTATATACCCTCCCTTCGTCATAGATACCATTCGCCCTGAGCATCCCGGGACCAGACAAGGACCTGAGTTGAGGGAAATCATCTTCGGAAGCAATGGTGTCTGCTCGTTCATCTTCGGAGACGATGCCATTGGATCCGATCCATCATTTGGAATTGTATCTCGTAGTTGCGCTGTTGCTGACGCCCCAGTAGCCGAATGAGCTTCGTTCGCGTCTAAGCCGAACGCTGTAGGAGAGTCTGGGTCGAAGATGGATTCTGCATCCCAAGTAATGGCGGCCATCGAAGGAATATGTCCGGGTGCGATTGAGGGGCAAGCTTATTGTGATGTTGGAATGCGACAGGTCCATTTTATATACGCATGAGGACAAAGGAGAATCAACACAATGACCCGCCAACTGTCAAAGGACCAAAAGAGATTCAGTGGCTACTCCGCCCTGCATGGACCAGTGGAATGAAATGGCCGTGTGGCAGGAGTGGCAAGCCGAGAGAAACTATACGACGCCACTGCCACTTACTAAAGAGACAAGGCAAGACAAAATTCTTTGATATGCAAGTGAATGATTGCCATTACTCGGTTGCAACACCAAAACATGACCACACGTATTCATACTCGGATACTCTCCGGGGGCCCTAGGTAACTAGACTGAACCCCTCCTGTATCTACACACAGAACAATTGTTAAGCACAATATCGAGTTTTGGAGACAACGAATAACGAACCAATTACGATCTTCTGCACAACGACTGTAGGCCCTACCATCCAGATCTATGTGGGGCTTGGTTATGAAGTGGCAAGCTCGAAGTGGTAAGACTTACCTTCAGAGTATGCGCACCCGGAGGAGCAGGGAAACTAGTGACCACAGACACAATACTGTTCGCCACAAAGCCGTCTAGTCCATCCCAAGCATCCGGCAGGGCGCCTTCAGGAGCAGAGGGTATGAAATAGTTGGTTTGAGGAGCCTGTGAGTCGACCTGAATGGCGAGAGCAAGTGGCCTGTCAGGTCCGAAAGCATTCAATGATGGGGAGACTAGGGTCGTGAAGGTAACATTGCCGCTTCCATCCACTGTATTGAATGTGAAGAAGTCGTACTCGCTGAAACGTTGTGAGTCAGAGGCCAATTCGGAAGTTGAGTGCTCAATCATCGTACATGCTTGGACCGCTTCCAGCTGTAAAGTTTTTATCCTCACCCCCACGAGGCCAGGGCGTCACACCAGAAACGGTACGTCCAATACCTGGAAGCTCAATCCAAGTCAGACCGTCAACGGAAGTGTTTCTCGATGCATGAGCCGCTTCAATAGAAACGGCACCATCTCCCTCAACGAATCCTAAAGGGCTATGATTGAGAGCCAAAAATAAACATATATACTGACAATGCTTACCATGAAAGTCATCAGGAACGACCGTATGGTTAGCGACAAAGCCAACAGTCTGTACCGACTTCGGCTGATTGGATGCAGTTGCCGTGAAGGTAATTTGTGCCGTTGACGCGCCAGTAACCTTCGACCAGTCAACAGAAAGGAAGACACGCTGTTCGGGAGCAGACGGAGAGATGTTGCCCTTGGTTTGCGATAGCTTCAACCAGCTCGCGTTCGTAGATGCCGTCCAGGAGAACGGAGCGGGACCGCCAGCAGAAACGTCGATGAAGCGACTACCAAAGGGAGCGAACGAGTCCAGAGTGAGTGTGGGAGGTGGGCAGTTATAACCGTCAGCACACTGGTTCGGATTATCGCCGGGCCTGTAATCACTTGAGAAGTGCGTAAACAGCAGCAATAAGGACATCATACCAAGCACCCGCTGTCCCCTCAAGTGCAATTCGCATGGGACCAGCGAGAGCTTGCTTCTTGGGTTGAACTCGAGTGATCGGAGGCATACTAGTTGAGGTTAGTGTGCAAAGATCCGATGAAATATGTTCACGACTCACGTATTCGCCATAGGCTGTTGCCAGTAGTAGTACATAACATGGGTCTGATCCATCATATGATCCCATTTGCCTGAAGGAGAGTCAGATACTGTCTCTTGCAACTTCGGAGAAAGGCCCCTGCTTACCGTCCAACAGTTGATGGTATTGCACTTCGAGGTCGTAGTCTTGGTCGAAGAGTTGTTCGACCTGGTCGGCGAAATCATTAGTGCTTAGACGCGCCTGTGATGCCCTGAGGTTATTGATTCCAGCAGAGATCCACATGTTGGCAAGAGTATAGCTGGCTTGAACAGGGTGGTGGACCAATTGGAAGAACGCAGGCTTCATGGCGGAGGAAAGGCTGTTGTAAATACGAGTCGACGCGTCGCTCAAGGACTTCCAATCAGCGAGAACAGTATCAGCTCTGCAAAGACAGTAAATATGAATGAAGAAGGATAAAAATAATTAACGTACTCTCGATAATGGATCAAGCTGTATGTGGTCGAGTTGAGGAGTTCTGGCTTGCGTCTAGCATTGAAGCGAGTTAGATTGGACAGGATTCCAACGACTTCATTTGCTTGAGACGCCGACAGTGCAAACTCGCGTTGCGCCCAACTAGATACAAACATGTCCAAATTGTTAGGATTCCATAAGGTCGAATTCCATCCATATGTAATAAAGAATTCGGTATCCATTTCATATGGTTTGAGATCGCCGACGTTCACGATCCAGACGCGAGTGGCTTCGCGGTCAATAGCTAAGGACATTTGCTCGAATGTCTGATGTCTACTTAGCAGTTGCCGCAAGATCACAGAGTCTCTCTTACCTTCGAAATTTGGGTACTCTGTGGCAAAGTGAGAATGGTGTTGAACGTTGAGCGAGTCGGGTCAAGCAGTCAAACTCACCGTGACCCACTTGTAGTCCCTTGGATCACCAACCTATCAAGCCCTTAGCACGAGACTTGCTTTCGATTGCGCAGAACTCACATAGTCGAAGTGATAATAAACGCCTGTAGTCCAAGTTGAATGAAGTGAACGAATGTCCTCAGAAACATATAGCGTACCTGCACCGCCAGTCCTGTTTCTCTCAGACAGGGTGGGGAATCGACGGATATTACCCCAACTATCTGAATTTAGTTATACGCGGCAGAGGGCAAGCAAAGAACCACGAACTTATCATCCGACCAGAGCAGTGTGACGTCATCTGGCACCCGCATGCCATCTTCGTAATAGCCTTGAACCTCCTTGTCTATTCGAGCATTAGTGTACACGACGGTACAAGAGCCTAGATGACCAACATAGAGCCCATATTTGAGGAATGGTGGTGATGTCAGTCCCATTGAAGACATTTGTAAGGATCTGTCGTTGGTCAGCGACGACTTTCTCGAGGAGGTTGATATTGGTAGTCTCAGATAGAGGCACTGCGAGCCGTCAACCTATTGAGAAGAAATAAGAATGCCGCGACTCACGATCTCCGGAGCCTACAGAGGACGTGATCAGATACACCATTGAAAGGTTCATCAAGAAGCATACCTCGCATTCCGAGAGTGAAAATACTCTCAAACGGTTTCGCACGAATGGCACCATCCACCCAGTAGTTATAGATGTTCTGCGAGTTTGTTGTATAATTCCAATCCCCATGTCCGAAAAGGTTCCATTCAATGGGCGTGCCACGCATCATAGGTTCCTGATGACTTGTACCCATGGCAATACCCCACCAATCAGCCAGAGCTTGATTCTGGGTATCATCGATGTCGAAAGCACTAGAACATAAGTCAGTTCGACGTGAACCATAAAGAAGGCAGTCGTATCCTGCTCACCTGCTCCAGATGGCTGAAAATGCTGGGTTAACAAAGTAGAATAGCATCCAAGACACCATAGCGTACCTGGCCACAAATAATTGGCTTTCAAACGTAATAATAATTCGAAGCTAGGAAGAAAATCAATCGAAATTACCCACAACCGTTCACGTTCAGACTTACAGATTGGTATAGAAGAAATGGTTGAAGGGAGACCCCGTCAAAGGTGCACCTGTCCCGTTCGTGAACTTCTCTGCTGCCCAATTTTGCAAGGCGGGCTGTTCGTCATTCAAGAAGATACCACGATATTTGACGGAGGGCGACCCATGGGAGCATCCACTCGAGGCAACGAACAGCTCTGAATGTTTTGTGACAGGGACATCAGCCCACCTTCGGAGAATGATTAGCATGTTTGAGTTAGTGGTAATTCTGGAATGAAAGCTCACCAATACCACGGAGAAACGCCTGATACATTCAGAATCAGGGCCAAGACAATGCGGATATTCATCAATATAACTCACCAAATTGTTCCGAGTGGTCATAGAGTGCAAAGATCGTCCCTCGCTTGTCGGCTCCAATGATCACATACGCACTGTCGACACCAGGTAAAGGGTTATCCACCTGCTTAGCTATGAATGCTTCCCATTGTCCGTCGATGGAAGACACATCCAGTTTGGTGCGATTCACCACCTGATCAATTAAAGCGGACTTCCCCAGAGTACCAACAATGATGGCAGAACGCGACTTGACAGCAACATTAGAAGAAGAGACATTTGTCAATGAAGGTTTGACCCCGGTGACGCGTTGGATATCGGCCGCAAAGTCGAACGCGGTTCGTTGAACGCCCGGCCATTCATCCGGTGACAGCAGGATGGAGGTAGCCTTTTTGTTGCTGACAATCGGAAACGTAGAACGAGAAGTTTTGAAAGCGACGCAAGTAGATTGACCTATGGCATGTACGCCGTAGGCGAATACTAGTAAGCCCAAGAGTATCTGGACACTCCACTGACGAGACATGGTCGATACACAATGTTAGTTGCTTGTCCGAGAATAAAGCAACACTTTTTTATGCCTGCGGCGGTGGAGTCTGTGCGCTCGTAGAAATTCATGTAAGGCGTCTGAGATCCATTCTGGAGCCTTGAAATCCACCTGGTGACCCTTCTCTGGGAGAAAGAGACCGCGGCGAATATTCGGCTGCCGGGGAGACAGCATCACGAGCAATGACCAACCTGTAGATGGTGTAAATGCGTACACCCAAGAGTATTTTCAAAGCGTTGAACTAACGACATCGGTAGAGGGAGATTGATTAGCAGTTGAGACGGTCCGTCGAGGAGTAGAACGCGTCCTGTCACCTGACGGCGTCAGTACACCACGTGAAGATGGAGACTTGAAGTCTATTTGTTCGGTGATGGGACGGGAGGTGTTGAAGAGAGTGGAGCATGCTGCAACAAGCTATTAATGTTACGTTCAGAAGGTCATCGTCGTCGGTCAAATTACTACTGATGCAAAATTAGTCTTTGGGCCGTTCTAGATTATCCTCTGGTCATAGACAAAACAAAGAAATCAATGAGTCCGATGGTCTGTAAAGCTTCGAGTTTCTCGCAATAGCTGGCATGAAATATCGAATTTGTTCACAGCATGAAAGACATACTGCGGAACGCCATGTCAGCATATCATAGAGATTAAAGAAAAGCGGAGCGGTTCCGCACCGGATCCAGTTCGCGTTGATCTGTAGTGCGACATTGAGGACAACGCAGCACGCGCATTCTTTCGGACAACTGGATACTACGAAGATACTCCGATATGGTGAGTCAATCTTCCCTCACCTTGTGCAGAGGTACGAAGACTTGATACAACCGGTGCGAAACATGATTTACCCATTCAGAATTGGAAGGAAGGATACGGTTGCAAGGGATCTGCGTTGGGACGTCACAATGCCACAAGTGCAAGCAGGATTACTTCTCTATATTATCAGTACTTCTCTATATTGTCAGACCGGGATTTAAAAAATGTGATGCGACTCGCCTGACAAAGAATATGCCCCAAAAATATTCCCATAATGGATTACCGCAATTTAGAATCAGTGAGAAGACAGTCTCCACATACAATATGACATTTCACGGGATCCGTGTGCACTTTCAACCCCTTTATCACAACAGTGGCAGATAAGACAGCGTTGCACATGCACTTGTTGTCGTAGACAGAGCACTAGCATACTTCAGCAGGTTAACGATTAATGTCTTGACTCTTCTGACTGGAAGCTGAAGCTGAGCCAACTGGCAGGAGCAAGACGCGTAAAGGTTTCGGCGATAACCGGGGTGCCGAGATAACCGACTACTGAATTCTAGACCTTTGATATAAAAGGCAAGTCTATAAACCTGCGAAGGCCAGAAGTTGCGAAGCACAGCGTCGACGAAACGGTGTATGTACTGGAATGGTACTCGTGAACAATTACAGATTACTGGGAAAGTGAGGGTAATGTCTTTCCACGCTTCAAAAGTTTCTTCGCTCGGCGCGATCCCTTGCATCCAACTGACAGACGAGGGTCAGATATCCCTCGCCGGCCTGATTGGGCTGGACAAGGAGGAAACACAGCAGGATATCCTAACCTGGGAATATTTGGTTGTTCGCCGAAAAGGAGCCGGAATTTGAATGGACCTGAACGAGCGGTATCTGATACGTCGGTCTCAGATGGCGAGTCTTCGGAGTGTAACGCAGGCTTCTGGTCTGTTGGAGGTGGGGATGACTCGGCTGCAATAGGGCGAGTGACGGTGTCCAACGACAGCGTAAAGGAGAATAAGTCAGCTAATGTATCAATTTCATCCGGTGCAGGTATAGGTCGGTTCGAGCGATCAGTCAGGTCTTCCCTCCACAAGCCGCTGCGTTCAAGGGAGAAGTCCGACGAGGCGCTAGCAAAAAACAACAGTTCCATGGGAATATCGTAGCGGGCATGTGGTGACGGGTAGGGTGGTATTGGTTCTTCCACTCCTGGAATCTCATCCAATACACATGGTATTCGTGGTTGCTGCTCCACTTCGGTCTGCCTCACTGATGCAGCAGTGGTGTCCTGAGGTGAAGAGGATGTAGAGGGTGGAGCGCCGCCCCTTGGAGGGTCAGGAGCAGCATTATGGGGCGCCCTAGTGACCGTGTCCGTAGATGTGAATGGTCGTTGCGCTTGGGCAGCATTCTTCTTCCTCCTCTTCGTATCTCGGGATTCCTGAACAAACTTGCCCTTCCTCTTCCCACTGGCATCCACGAACTCACAATCAAGAGGTACCCATTGGAGCCACGAGACCACAGGCTTTGTTTGGTCTGCTGGATCAGGTTCTACATGGGAAGAGGCTTTGATGTCGACATTCTCGCTGATGGTATCATTAAACGTCCGTGGGATCAGTATATGTCAAAGCAGAATGTATAAATATTATCTCGTACTCACTGGTCATCCAAGTGGTGCTTTTGCCTTCCTTCTTCGGTCTCAGTCGCATATTGACAGCCATGATAAAGGCATTTATATAGGCTGGAGGCGATGCTTGAGCATGTGGAAGGAGAAATAGTGCTTGAATATTAATTATACATACCCGTCGTCGGGATCTGGAGATTTGTCCCTCAGATGGGACTGCATATGTTCTCTAACGCCGGCACATCCAGATATAATAGACCTACAGAAGCGACATTCTTCACTTTCTTGCCACCGACGCATTGGTGAAAGCGTGTGGAGTGTACTACAAACAAGACAAGATCAACATTTGGAACGAATGAGAGCCATCGGTGACGGTCACAAATACGTACCAAATGACAATCAGTGTTTTCTCTTCAAAGACAATGTTCGATCAGGGGTTTCTATGGTGTATGTCTGTAAGAGGTCTCGTGAGGGGCAGATATTAGATGTGCGTAAGACACAACGGGGCTCAGATTTATATGAACTATGTTTTCTGAAAAGGGCAGTATTTGTATTTGTACTTTTACGTTGAAGAAACACACAAGTCTTGCTGCTGGCTGGATTCAGTGAAGCGAAACCGCTAGATGAGAAGTTGACTCACCGAAACAACCGGTCCAACTCAGATCTACCATCCGCAATTTACATCACGAAACGCGACAACTGAAATACAACAAGTTCAGTATACTTGCCTAATTTGATGCGAGTGCCCTTCATGACAAGTTGTCATAGGGATGTCGTGTTGTGGGTGTGGAAGAGCGCCCATAGTCTCAAACATCACTAGAGTGCATTTAGAACATTGGATATTTTACCGTAGTCGGGCTGGACCAATTTGTCAGAAGAGAACGAGAAGATCTTGAGACCCAAGCCCGAGTCCTTGTATTTCCTTTGTATACGTGCCAGACGAGTGTAAGCGAAAACGCATATCGGACCCGCCCCAAGAGACCACAAATCCCATCAGGGTTCTATCAACGTCAAGATATTCTGCTAAGATGGTCGCCAAAAAAAATATACGAACATACATACCATATCGCGGAAGTTGAACCAGTATCATGATCGGTGAGTGAACGAATAAGTAGTCGGTGACAGTAATCAAGCATTCAATTTCCCCGTATGTGGGTCTTCAAAAGAATGATGCTATCTCAACGCATAGGTCATCATGGTGGCTTCAAAGCGGGAGGCAGAAGGTGGCAGAACGCTATTGGGGAGCTATCCGGAAGAATACGGAATAGGCAGGTCTGCAAGTTCGTCTCGCATTTTAATACTGACAATTGAAACATTGTACATGACATAGAATTCTCAGAGACTTAATAGAATAGGCGTTCAGCTTTCCGGGTTTGTCTAGACTGGTGCCCGAGACAATCGTTTGCACCGTCACAAAGATCAAAGTCTGCACCTAGCGTTAAAACACGACGCTCACATACTACTCTAATTCAAATTCAAATTATGTAAGTTATTGAACAAAGGCAAGCAAAGCATTGAATCCGGAAGTATTTGATTAGTTTCTCAAACGGAAATAGATTGATCTACAGGTTGCTCAATCATCGCAAAGAGCTCCTCGCCCATTGCCTTAAGTTCGTCAGGTGACAGAACCTTAGGTGGAAAGAAAAGACGCTCCGCATCTGACATGTCGTTCGAATCAGGCATGAACAGATCATCCAAACTCGAGTCGAGCACTGGCGGAGGGAAGGTCGGGTCAAGTGGAATGTTGTCCCAAAGAAAATCGGGAATAGAGGATGCAGAGCATGAAGAGTTTGCTTCTATGTCCTCCATCATCGAAGGAAACAGATCCTCGAATTCGTTCCCCCATTGTGACGTTGGTTCCGAGTTCGTCCAGCTCGTCATGGATAGATTATCCCATAACAGTTGTTCTGCCGGGGAAGATGGGGCCGGCGAAGTCGCTGGCTCAGAAATCCACCTATTCGATTGAGAGGTGTTCTTGCGAGGATCAAGGTACACCAGAGGTGCGGATCGCGGTTCGTCAAGCTGTTTGCTTCGGGGTGGCGCGACAAGAGGAACCAACTTAACGGCATTGATACTGGATTTACGGGCTTGCCGAAGCTGACGAGCACGCTCCTCCATCATCTTCTCCCTGGCAAGTCTCGATCGCGTGACAGCACTATGGTCGTCGGTTTCGGTGCAGAAATATAGCGGTATACAAGTAAGGCAGTCATCCTTAGATGGATCGATGGCGTTCTGACTGTATCCTGGGTACCGATGATAGATCTCTCGGTGCTGTCCCAGAATGGACGGATGAACGGCCCTGAAACCACAGACAACTTTCTCGTCAGGGTTGTCTGCGCTTGGAATCAGGTGTGGACAGACGTGAGCTTCAAGGTCTTCACTACGGAGAGGAATAAAGATATCGTATCAATCCATCTATAGGTCGGTCGGCGACAAGCACACATGTACTCACTGCAAACAGGCATGTTCGTCAAGTTCTTCACCTGCATGAGGCGGTACATTGAATGTACAGTCCTTGTATGGACACCTCCAGTAGCTGCAGGTAGGATATATCATTAGCTGGATGTATATGGAATGTGGCGCAACACTCACTCGTCTTTCGAGCTGGTCTTCTTATCATCCCAATGCGCCAGTCTATGGTCCGTTATTTGGGGTGAGGGTACAGATGCTTTGCAATAAGGGCAAACTTCAATCGTATGAGGGGTGTGCTATAAGACAAACGTTCAATCATACAATTTCCACAGATCAAATTGAGTCTTACCTTCTTTGGAGGAGGACGGGTGGTTCTAGCGACAGGCATGGTATTGTCGACAAGTAGCGCACAGATTATAGGTTTGCGGGATGTGGCGATCGATGAGAGGATGCTCGAGCGTATTTATAGAGGCCGGTTATCGAGTGAATGCTTATTGTTTTTGCACAAAGGGAATCCGTGGCGTAGCACCGAATCAAGCAGTTTCATCAAATCTACTGCTGACATGTGTCTTCAGGCCTGGACACGTTGCCTCAACGCCTCCAAATACAATGTTCCCTTTCAAACCGAATACGGATATACACCTCAGTTGCCCGGCTATCTTCGCCAATCGCTTGTGGGTCCACTTGTACTAAGAGTAGAAATGGTGAAAGTTGCAATCGCAATGACCATCGTATAGCCATTCCGCATTTGGAGCTATTGGAAGTTCCGTATCATCGAACAATAAGTCGGAGTCAGATCATGGAGTGCTCCACAATTGTCAGCCTTGTACTTGCAATGAGTGTCTCAGACGTATTGTTATGTCTGACCAAGCGCACATGAGGAAGAGGCACGTTCCGAGCCAAACTTGGCAGGAGCTGTAACCTAATGTCCGAGCGCTTTCCCTTAAAGCAGAGCGAGTCGCCCATAGCACACGCTACATATCAGTACTAGAGCTGATCGAACCCTGATTCGGGAGAGAGAGCATGTATAACGAGTGAGTTGGCGATGTATGTTCATGCGAGTTGAACCCTGTGCCAAACCGTTAAACAGGGAGCGCATAGGTGAGATGAGAATCATGAGATGAGATGAGGGTACATGAAGGAGAACCTGCGCGCGTCATTGGAACTGGAGAGGCGAAGGTGGTTCCGAGGCGAGTTGCGATCAAGAGACATAGCAGAGTTTAAGGATCACGGTAGGGCGGACCTGTGGGAGTCGAGAAAGCCTCGTAGTGATAAGAGCGGAGATCAGAAAACATGGAAGGATATGCAATCTCACTGTTCTACCGCCAAAGTATGGGATTCGTCAGTCTTTTGTAGCACCATCGAGGAATACGTATCCGGACATTAATGATAGAGACTTATCAGAGCCAATGAATGCCAAAGGCACCAGAGAGACGAGGATAACTCCTGAGGATGAAGTCGTCGAAACGGCCAATAATAGAGATGCACTTGTCAGTCTCGTCTGAGGATTGCGACAAGTGTCTTGTGAAGGACAACCACGGAGGCTTACAGCAATGAGGGCACGGATTACTGTCAAATTCAACTGCTCAGAGGGTCGAAAACGCAGAATAAAGGTCACCAGTTCGCCAGACGTGTTGATGCGTATGTCGTACAGCGATTACATGTCCTCCAACAGGACCACTGAAGCCTGACAATATGCACTTTGACAAGGTCGAAGTGAGTATGATACAGAGGAATTGTTTTGCAGAAGATATGCAACGGTGTAAGCTCACCACCATGAGACTGAAGGAAGCTTAGAGGGCCGTGGCTATTAATAGACTCGATTTTCTGCCGTGAATAGGAGGCAGATATATTCAACATATTATTACCTTCATCATCTCGTGGGAATGCCCAACGTCGCCAGGCAGAAATGCGAGTACATAGCGCGTCCGGCCCTTTTTTTTGTCGTTACTGTAACAACATCGCCAGCACCATGAAAATGGTGATCCGACCTCGCTGGCAGGTGATGATGGGCGTTTGTGCTCTCCAAAATACCAACGGCATTGCCTTCTCCGAGATGCGCAGTTCATATATACCTCGTCGGACAGCAAGCAGGACGAAAAGAATTCCTGCAGCTTGCACACTCACCTCGAAAGCTTGAAGAGCTTGACGACTTGGACGACTGAAACAACGTTGTTCGCGGCGTAAATCCGACCATTTAGACTTCCGACCGGTACCGGCGACGATAGATCAATCAAACAACAACATATCGCCGTGCCTTTTTGAAGTATTTAGGATCCTAGGGCAACCTCCAGATTTGTAAAGGATTCCATTCATCTCTTTCCATCTCCTCTCGGTGTCGAGGGACCCACCTTCGTTACTGGAGCCTTGTGTCCCCGTACACCCTGCGTTCAAGAATGAAAGCCGCTCTTTCTCTAGCTACTCTCCTTTACCTCGCGCCTGCAGCTCTTGCGGCGAACTTTACTCTCGTCAAGCAGTACGCTGGACAGGACTTCTTCAATGACTGGGACTTCACAGACAACTTTGACAATACCACAAACGGTGCGCGCAGTGTGTTTGATACAGATGAACTTGAACTTGAACATGCGAGCCTTCTCATCTTAGGTGATATAAACTATGTGCCTCAGTCGACTCAGCCCCAGTTGGCATACATAGACTCCAACCAACGAGCCATTATCAAAGTCGACAATACTAGCGTTGTGGCATACCCCAACAAGCGTAACTCGGTCAGTTTCTCTGGGCGTCTCCGACTAATACGTCACTTAAATAATATGGTTTCTACAGATCAGGATAAACTCCAAGGACTTTTACGAGGCAGGAACGGTGTGGGTCTTCGACGCAGTTCACTTGCCTTATGGTTGCGCCGTACGTCCCTTCTACAGCTTCCCCCGCCTCGAGTTCCCTTAACATACCTAACGTTACGCATTTCGCTACATTCAGGTCTGGCCTAGCTTCTGGACCAAGGGTGCTGACTGGCCTCGCCAAGGCGAGATTGATATCGTTGAAGGTATCAACACCCAAACGTCTAACCAAATGGCTCTTCACACTTTCAACGGATGTAATGCCGCTTCGGGTACCAACCAGAAGGGAAAAGTCGGAACCACAAATTGCAATGACACTACTGGCGCTGGTTGCACTGTGGTAAGCCGCTCATAGGTTCTTCTCGTTGTATGTAACGTTGACTGTGGTGGTTTGCAGACGGAGACGACGGATAACAGTTATGGAGCTAGCTTCGCCTCTGCCGGTGGAGGAGTCTGGGCGGCTCAGTTCGATGCTACTGGTATTTAGTACGTCTTTCGTCTTGTTCTATCCAACTTTATCACTCACATTCACTAATATATTCCCTTTCGACTCTTTTCCACTTTCTCAGCATCTGGTTCTGGAACGTAAGCAAACCTTTCCTCACGCTGAATGTCTCCCCTCTGACCGACCTTCACAGCGTGCAAGCGTTCCCACGTCGATTACAACCGCAACTGACTCCATCGACATCTCCCAATGGGGTGCACCTTCCGCCGCGTACCCTTCTTCAAGCTGCGACATCGGCAAATTCTTCGGTGCTCAGCAAATGGTGATCGACATCACGCTTTGCGGTGACTGGTGAGTTACCACCATCCCGCCCAGTTCCAATTTTTCAGATTTTCGGGATGCTGAATATGACCTGTAGGGCCGGTGTACCTTCTCTTTATCAACCTGTATGTGGAGGTGACGGCGCAGCCGATGGTTGCGTAAGTACCATTCCATCCTTACCCCGCTCCATTCAAACCAACTCATCCACACCTAACTTACTCATCATACATACTATAGTACCGCAACTCCGTCATCAACGCCGGCTCACCCAACTTCGACAACGCCTACTTCGAGATTAACTACATCAAAGCCTTCGGCGTGAACTCATCCGTCATCACCAACTTTGCAGGTGCCGTCGGGTCTTCCACCTCTAACTCTCCTTCTGGTGGTAGTAGTGGTTCAGGAGGTGCCCAAACCACTTCGGCTGGAGGAAGCACGCAGACTGGTTCGGGTGACGGATCGGGTGCGTTCAAGTTGAATCTGAGTGGAGGTGCTATTTGGGGTGTACTTGGTGCTGGGGTGTTGGCGTTGCTTTCTGGGTTGATGTTGTAGGTTTGAGGTTTGAGGCTTGAGGAGTGATGGTTTGTGTGCATGGTGACAAGACTATTCTTCTTTACACATATTTAGACGTAATTGTTTGTACACAAGCGTGTTGGACCGGGACGTCCGATATTCAGTGAAGAACTATGTTGTACATACCTCGTACTTTCACATTGGTTTGATATCGAATTGAATAAATGGAAAGGTGGAGGCGGGAGGATTATCCCATTCACTAAATGCGATGCAAGATATGTATAGGGAGATCATAGCAGTTCGTGAAAGACATTAGACAGCAGTACCTACTTTAAGTACGTATACCCTAATCCAATATAAACAACGGTGACAATGACGAATTCGAATGAGGAAGAAGTACAGAGTATGGAAGAAGACCGACATCACGTTATTACAAGTAACATGAGATGAGGATGCAAGACGTAAAAAAAAATCGCGTGAATATGAAGGGAAGACGGGACGTGTGGATTGTGAGATTGGAACGAAATGGGCATTGGCAAGGAGAAACACAATTGGAGAATGAAGAACGAGAATAATGAGGATACACCCAAGAACAACCCAGAAAGTAGACTGTACGGGCGTACAGGGTATACATCTAAGGCAAAGTATGAAGGACACAAGAAAGAATCAGATACGAGCATACACCAAGACTGAACAGCATGCCTGAAGATACGTAACGGGCGTAGGTGGAATGGGACATGCACGGTTGTGAGGGAATCAAAGTGAGCAACGAGCAGTGAGCAGTGAGCCGCTGAGGTGAAGTAGATGGAGGTGAAGTAGATGGAGGTGAAGTAGATGGAAGTGAAGTAGATGCATGAGTGTACGAGGGAGATGACAAGATTATAAGATGTTTGACAGATGAGCGATCAGGAACGGTCGGTCCAGGTTCAGGCACAACCAAGAACGAAAAGCAAGGGGTGAAAAAAGCATGCACATGTGTGCTTGACATCGACAGGCGAAACCGTTGATAGCCTTGACACTTGAAAGACCGACTTGACATCTTACTCCCAAAACTAGTATAAATACGTTCAGAGGAGTGAGAGTCTCCGTGTTCAAGCTGCCTCGAACATGATGCCATCCGGTCAAGCTGAGCGTCTGGCCGCAGTTCGTATGTTCGCGAAGAAACATACCGTCGGACTCGGGATCTCGCCAATAGTCAAAATGGGCGGCGGGACTTGAGATGCATCGGTTGTTCTCCCATTCCCCGCTTCTCCCTCTTCTTCGTGCTTGCTTGCTTCACCCTCGTATTCGCCATCCATCACCTTTTCGTTTCTCCTTCCCCACACCACCAAACCCTTCCCGTACGACAAGCCAAAGAGCCGTACACGAAACGATGTCCTTGATCTCTTCCGCTGTCAAGATCAAAGCAGGTTTCGGTACTGCTTGACTTGCGTTCCTAAACGAAGCACCGAAGGGTGAAGTCGACGAACCGGGTGGTGACCCAGGAGAGTTCACGCTCGCAGGTGCGGTAGCAGGTCTGGCGACTCCTGCTGGAGTCACGACGCGTTTCCGCACTAGGGCTTTATCCACTTCGATGTCGGGTAGGGGGAAAGGAATCTTCAGCAGAGCGACCACTTTCGGGTGATGAGGCGCCGGGACAATTGCTCCAACGCGAAGTCTCACTTCTTGTGGTGGTTGATTCTGTGTTGGTGAATGTGCGAAGGAAGGGGATGTTGTTGAAGGGTGTGAACGAAGGACTATGGAGCATGTCCATGGGGTTTCCGAATCTTCAGGGTCACTCTCTTCACCGTCGTCTACATCCGCTTCGAGCGACGGACCTCGATGAGGGGACTGGCCATCTTCCGAATGCGTAAAGCTGGAACGTTTCGACCGTCTCGATTCGCGATCCGCAGAACGCTCCATACGCGATATTTTGGCTTTCGGAGATCGAGAAGTAGCTTGTTCAGGGCTGAGCGTTGTTGGTGATGTCTGTTGAGCAAAAGATGAAGTCGATGGTGTGTTGGAAGACAATGCTTTGCTGTCCCGCCGACCATCTCGACCTTCGTCTTCAGTCTTCCGCCGTCCTCGCGACCCTTTCCCCTTTCCTCGTGCCCTCGTCCACTCGAATCTGACTTCAACGGGGACATGCGTACCAGGTGCACTCATCCTATCATTGATCATACCCAGGAACCCATCACTGCTCCCACTCCCGTTACCATTCTTCAGCCATCTTCGCACGATCCATACATATGCCTTCGGATGTCGCCCTCTCGGAGGATATACCGGGGAACTCAATACAGGCTGAATACCCAATATTGTATATTGGGTCACAGTCGCAGAAGGTGGAGGCTCTCCATTCCCAGAGGCACCTTGTGAATGTAAAACTTGCGACTGCGGATGGAAAGTCGAACTTGATGGGGACGGTAGGTGTGAAGTCAACTGACTTGCAGCCAACAACAAGGACGATCTCTTGACCGATCGTGTTGTCTGCTCTTGTTGGACATGCAGGGGAAGAGGAGGAGGCGGTTGGGCTCCGGAGCCGGATGACGTCTCAGACCCCTTCTTCTTGAACATCTTGCCAAAGAACTTGCGCGCACCACCGCCGGCATTGCGTTCGGACTGTTGTTGTAGTTGTTGGGTGAGAGGTGTCGTGGGTACTGTCGAACTGTCGTGGGTGCTGTGGGTATTGAGGGTATCGGAAGTGAGTGAGACGGCGGAGGATGTAGCGGTGTGTGGCGGTTCAACTCCCAGGAGTTGTGGTTGTCCTTCGATGGATGGTCCATGTCCGAAGTCAGAGTCAACTGAAGCTCCAGGCCAGACCTCGATAGGCTCGAGGACAGCCAAGCCGATGACTTCTAAGCCACGTCTTTGGAATTTAGCCACCTTGGCGTCGGTGCCTGCGTCGACAATGACATTGGTCATGACGTTGTGTGCTTGAAGATTGTATAGCGGTATGATCATCCGTCTCGAGGATGTTGAGGATGCTGTAGACCCGACACTGCTGAACGATGTTACCGAGGTATACCCCGAGTACATCGATACATCCGATCTGTTTGAGCTGGTGCGGGTGAGTGCAATTCCGTCTTCCGTCACATCTGTGGTGGAATCGAAAGATCGGCGTGAACTCATAGACCTATCCTTGTCTTTCGCGCTTGGAGGTACTAGTTGTACCTGGAGATTGAGCGGGTGGTTCGTTTTCGATGGCGGTGGTCGTACAACGATGAACGACTACAAGTCTATTAGATCATAGCAATTGAGGAGAAACTGGTTACATACCTCATGTGTCCGTTCTTTCCTCTTCTTTACACCCTGCTCATCGACGCCCATGTTTCGTTGGGGCTCTTCAGTAAGATGTGGTTGCCCGAGAATGCTCTCCCTGTCTGGAGTCGGAGGTGTCTTGTCCTGAGCCCCTAGCTGCAGTGCTGGTGGAAGAAAAGAAGACAGAGTCGAGAACATGACCGTTCCTGCCGAAAAGAAAGTTGGAATGTCCGATCTCTGTTACGAAGTAGACTCTGACATACCATTCGAGTTTCAAGATTTGTATTATACTCGGCTACTGCGTCATTCAGACGGCTCCCCTACATCAGCAAGCTTACGCTTTAGGCCCGTTTGTGACCGTTGGCGGCAACGCTGATATTCAGGGGTTTGCCTACTAAGTATTAAGTCGGAGAATGAACTCGATAGCCTGCCGCACTTCCGCACAGGTGCGGAAGATCAACATCCTCCCGAGTGTAGACAGTATTGAAGGTCCGATAGACTTATTTACTCACCTCATCAAATTCAAAATCAGGTTGAAGCTTTGAGGAAATGCCAAGCCCCGCATAGACAACATCACTGCAACATCTTGCAAGTACCGCAGATCATCGCCTTGTAAATCCGACGCTGTACACATATCTGCTAGGAGAAACCGAATCTTCTTGTTTTTCTGACAATGTTGTAGGGAGCTCGTCGCCTTCGTTTGCCCCGCCAGCAGCAAGTCCGATCCACCGTTGCCCGTGATATTCGCCGACACGACGACTCGGATGAACACGCCACATACAGTACGTATCTGATATGCTCGACTTCGGGGGACGGCTATACTGTATAGCTCAGTTATACCGTGCACATCGGATACACACGCCTCCTCACGCCTCTGCTGCTGCTGTCTAACAGTTTGAACACATTTCACAAGCCTTTGCCAAATTAGAAATATGCTGTATATTCACGGTACCGATTAAGGTGTCATCACTGGATAGCGCTACTGGCGGGATTTAGTGATACGACTTTAGTGAGCGTGAAGTTTTTCTCTGTCCCAATGGTCCCAATGACTAGGAGTATTGTACAGCGGGGCTTCATACGGGCCGTTCTGTCCTCATAAAAAGTAAGCCGGCGTTCACTCATCCGACGTTTCCGTTACAGCAGTCTATATGACAAGTTTACCTTGTGGGGATCCGACTGGCACACATTTCGGATATGATTCGTGCGTGGCTCACTTTGTGGTCCGATGATACACTGAAACAAGCACATTTACAGGATCGCCTCCATTAAACGCGAAGATTGACACTCGTATCGGACTCGTCTTCGAATGCTGAACCCATGCTGTCAACCCACGAAGAGTGCAGCGGCACCATCAATCTTAATGCGCAGACGCAGTCCAAAGATATCAGTTCATCAATCAAGCTTTTAGCTTCAAAGTCTTCAACTCCTGATCAATTTTCCATTGATTTCTGCACATCCGCAGCTCTTGCAGATTGACAACTTGTCGTTCTGCTGATATCGATGTTGCATTCAAGCAGATCGCAGCGCGGTAGCCCAGGCCCGCTTGTATGCGCTTTCTAGATCGTACGATACTACCCAGCGAGAGCTGCCCTATTGATCGTTCCTACTTCTACTCTGGCTACCCAGCAGTATCCGCAGTGACAGTCGCAATGGGCGAACGTTGAATCCTCTGCGCATCGCAGCGGGACCTTCGTACACGGCTGTCACTTTCTGACATGTACGTATTCTAATACAACTGGCGTTTTCTATGTGACTTCGTTTCCTAGCTGTATTCGCAGACTTAATACCTCCGCTTGTCAAGAATTTCATCGAGACAATATTGGTGCGCTGCGACTGTTTCATCAGCTACGACCTTTCCTTTACGAGACAACGCAACGCGGCGTGTTTCTGTACTTCCGTCCCGTCTGTCGCTTCGCGCTCTCATAGTTCTAAGCCTCAATTTGGCCGACCAACACTTCAAATGGTTCATGCGCCGCATGTCGTGCTAAGAAAATTGTCTTATAGCTCCTTGTGCAGCTTTGTCTCATGCGCATTGTACTTTGCATGCGATCTCCTGATGGTCTACGGCTGACTGGAGATATCTTCTGGCGTAGTTTATCCAAGGAGATGCCGGATTCCGTGATGAGACCTGGTGAGCAAAGGGTGGAGTTGGATTCAACTCATATCTTCCTTGCGTATCAATATGGCAGAATACAATGTGGAACGACCACCTTTCTTTATATCCGGTCTCACCCGATGCCGTGCCTTCAAGGTCTCACTGATCCCTCACGAACTGCATACTCGTCCACCTTGATTGTATCCGGAGCAAGTTCAATACCCACTTCTGGCATTCATTTCAACCCTTAGCTCCACCCTGTCATCCCCTCCACACCACCATCATCGTTGTCATCACCTTGTAGGCTTTGTGGGCGAAGTCTGTATACCTCAACCGCTCAACCGTTTGGGACCTTAGCTTGCTTTTCCCGCTTTGAATCAGCAAATGCATTAGATATTGCTTTCACGCTCTTGCTTGTCGTCACTAATGCTAATGACAAATGCATGCGAATCTGGCAGACGATCTGAACGGCTGCGGCGTTCCGCCAAGCCTCTGATCATTATCTTCAGGATAAGTATCGAACTTTACATCTCTTTCTACTCCGCCTTGGGGAATCTAACTACGGAACGCAATGATAAGAACGTATCCCTTCGGCGAATATAACATTATGGGAGTTGGTGAGTCCGTCCTTTTCCTACTCGTCCTGGGTTTACTGCTTATAGTCACCTTGCAGCCTTGCAGGTGACGTCATCGCAATACCCGTCTATCACGCCGCTCGCCTTTCCAGTCCGGTTATCGTCCAAAAGCACTCCCCTGGTTACAGTGAACGAAACAGGGATCTGTTTATCTTCAACTTTGCGAAAGAGACCATTATTGAAAGGTGTCGCCACATTATTGAAAGCTGTATCCTGCCCACGTGCGCTTGTTCTTTTAGATATTCATTTGAGACAAAACTCGTGCAAAGTACAAGAACCATGACTCCTGGGAGTTACTCGTGACTCCGACTCATTGTTTCTTTCCATCGACCAACGGAAGATGCCTGCAGCCACTCCGAAAGTGTCTGGCTACTGCTGCTATCTTTCTGCCAACGAGGTTGGATGACCTACAAACCTACGACCAGAGATCATCCACGACAACCGGCCAAGAGATATCCTTGCTTCAGATTTAGAAAGTCCCGCTTTGGATTCAGGACGAATAAAGCACGAGAGATCTTGAATCGACATGCGGAAGGCTGCTGCCACTGAGAAGGTGTGTATCAGCCTCATTGTCCTTGACAATGACGCTGCGAGTCGCCTCTCATCCATCAACGTATTACAAGCATTACCGCTCTTGGAGGATCCTGTCCATTGTTACCATATAAATACTCACAATCCCGGCCACTCCACCTCTAGCAAACTTCATCTGCTTCAAAGTCTACTTTCTTTGAACTCGATACTCGATTAACGCTATGCCCTCCGAAAGAATGAGTCGCGGATTACCCAAAGTAAACTTTTGTGTCTAGTCTACTGTTAAGCCATTTCTGAAACCATATCACTCTATTCATAGCACAGCGCTTCCGTTGAAGTGTGCATATTCTGCAAGACGATCATAGAATCATCCAGGGTGGGCATACACAGAGAAGAGCATTTGCTCAATAAATTTCCGGATCCGAGCGATGGGTGCGTTCCGTTGCGAATGACGACTCTCCAAGGACTCAGATTCAATCGTATTTTTACAGATACTGGAAATGTCCCTATGAGAAATGTTTCTATACAACGGATAGTATCAACCCGATTGGCGCACACTTACGAGCGCAGTACGTTTATTCTATCCATACCTTCGCCCCCTTGTGAACTCATACTAACTCCAGAACCTTCCGTTCTCACTATAGCGAGAAGGTCAACGCCCAAGTTTGTCCTCACCTAATTCCCGATGTCGACAAGCCGGAGAAGAAGGTCGTGTGTGGGTTCATGGCCTCAAATTTCGAGAAGCTCAGAGCACATAGAGAGGAATATCATGGATTCCGGAGCGAACTCCACGAAGCATCGTCTTCTCAAAGAACAAGTGTCAAATGGGTCCCTCTGTACTATTCGTGCGATAGAGGATATCAGCAGGTTGAGCGATCGAAGCTCGCCAGAGACAAGATGATGAAAGAACGCAGGTTTCCAAGACGAGAGGTCGAGTGGCAAGGCAAGATATTGAAAGAGAATCCGTGTCGATATCTCACTATGTGGAACATTCCGGTATGATTTCGTTGGGTTGGAGATTCAATCGTGCTCATATCTCACAGGACGGCTTTCGCTTTATTCCAAGCATTGGACCTGATGAACCGGATCGTCGTTTCCCTCTCCGACCCGCTACATTTCCGCAACTAACCTAGTGATTGAGATGTGTCGGAGTGGTTGGAATAGGCTTTGACGGCAATAGTGACCGACCGAAGAGATTTTCCTAATACGTTTCAACTTACTAGTTCATATGGACCATTCAGCATTAATATTTGTCTAGATAAAGTATGCAATAATTGGATCGATTCAGCACACTCCCAACGTATGATCGTTCAACTGAATTTTGCCGTGAAGTTTATTGACGATGTGAGAAGACTGAGCCCACGTTTGGAGATCTGTTACAGATTGCCAGTACTTGGGGAACGCTGATTGCCGACTTTCGTGTCAGTGAACTTGGAAGCTGTGGCGTTACGAGTTTCTTGTGTCTGACTTCACCTCCCTCCAGATCGACTAGGTTTCAATATATTAGGTTTGTGTGTTATCCCCAGCGATGCCTATGCTCAACTACCTCTACTATCCACAGAACTATGCCGCCTTGAATTTCAAGTTGTCGGACTATGATTTCGATATGGCTCAGCCGGGGAAGATGATATTGTCATGCTCCTTCCATGATATCATTTCCCGACGTGCATTTGAATCATGCACGGTGGGATACTACTCCTTTTGCATTCAATTCCATGGTCTCACACTAGTACCTAGCGCGCCGCGACACTTCACTGTTTCCAACGCAAGTATCTGGTGTGGCGTATTCCCTTATTTATGGACTTGGTTAGCCCTCAGGAATATCGTGATTGCGGCGGCGAAGTGGGGAGTTCTTATTTCCACCGTATGTTTGTTGGCGGGGTGGGATTCAAGGCGACCTGGCCATCGTAACTTGCAGGGCTTCGTGTTTACCCCTCTTCGAGGTCTTTTCTACCTCATTCCGAGTCCTTACTTGCGACGAGGCGCCTCTGCGTTCAGATCGGCGTTTTGCTGAAGGTCTTAAGGCGGACGTGTGCCATTGTGTGTTCTCGTGGGCAACAGGGCGATTACGGCAGACCACGATGAGAGCCGTCAAGTCCTTTCTTTGAAATGGTCAAATTGCGCTCCCAGGATCATTTCGACGTCTTCGAATACGATTCCTGCCAGGCCTCGCTTTCAACATGAGGCATTCGAACTATGAAACTTGAGCGGCACATCCAGTACTTGAATGGCGGCTCGCTCCACGCATCACGCAGGCTTCAAAATAACTTCATTTCAGATACGAGAGGAGAGATTTAGGGCAGCCAACTAGAGCAAGACAAAACAGATTAGTCAATTAGGCTATGGTACCAAGTACGAATGAAGATCTCGGAGGCTGGAGTTAAGTAACATAGGATAACTGTGAGGGAGCAGAGAGGCAAGAGATTCGACAACAACATAGCGAAGGGAAGACGTTAGAAGAGATAACTAGCACCGCGATACCAAGCCAGACATAACGACTGAATCACTGCGCATATGGAACAGCCTCACCCTGACACTTTATGGATGGGAAGTCCTTGTACGCGGCGCTGTAAGGATGATATGTCTTCCCTTCGCCCCAGTTAGCTTTCCTCAATTGGCCTGCGTCACTGGGAGTCCTGCGGCCCCCAGATTTGTCCATATACATCCAGGCATCGCCGCGCCGAGCTCGGTGTGTCACAATATCATGGACGGCGCGGTAGTGGCGACTACGATCGGCCTTGTCTTTGAAACTCTCCCCACAGTAGACGCATTCGACCTGTTTCTTGATGCTAAGGAGGGACCCCGGTTAGCAAGCCTTCATATCGAGTGAAGTTTGCATCACGTACTGCATTGTCCGGATATGCTGGTCCAGGTTACTTTTCTGATAAGCACGATGGTCGCAACTGCAGCATTTATATGGGGGCCTAAAATCATCCTGATATGAGTAGAAACTATCGAAGATCTGTGCGAAAGACACGAACTCGGCCATATGAAGAAGAAGGTGGCGTTCCAGGTCCAGCGGCCGGCTATTGGTTGTCAGACATTCAATGAGTTTCCCAGTACTACGGTGAATGGTCATCATGGGGCATCTGATACGATGCTATTGAACGCAAAGTCAGATCGTTGAAGGAAAATGTGGTGTTGGCAACCGAAGCCACAAAACTCAAGACTCACGACAGTACTCGTGTCCTCGATTTCGGCGACCTTTAGACGATCTGAGGCAATCTTATAGAAGTATTGAACCATGGCGGACAGGCTATTGAACGGGTAGTGGTTGACATCGCATAACTAAGGATGTGAGGTTATGAGCTGAGGCGAGTGCAGCAAATGAAGGAAATACCGGGAAGTGATGTTTCTCCCTCGCAATCCGGCTCCGTAGGCAGTCATATTCCTCGATTGAAAAATGGAGGGGAATACGAGATGGAAACGATGGCGGCGCCATCTGGCTCGGGAAGGCGGCGGGGATCTGGGTGGAGGCAATTAGCATTCATAGTCTTCACGACATCGAGGAATCCAACTGGTCGTACATACCCAGCCGTATTTCTGTTTCCCGGACATATGGCGGCTGGAGAGCTCATTGTCCAGGCATATTGGGGAGAGGCGACGTAATGAATCATCATGCTCGTGGGATGAGCAGTCGTGGAGCTTGGACATATTCAGAAGAGGGTGTGGAAATGTGGCAAGCGTATACTTCAGAGATGTCAGACAGATGCTTGGTAGCTTCTTGAAGGATCCTAAGCTGGGTTAGGTAGATTTTATAATGCATGAAGCGCCAAAATGGAGCGAAACAACAGAAGAATAATTGCCTATGCGGGCAAAATGACGATCAGATAACACAGGTACTGCCATTCGAGCATCTCCAGTACATGCACAACCGCATTCCAAGGATCCCAAAGTATTCTTCTGAATACAGTTCGGGGGCTGCCGCGAGACGTAGGGAGTTTACGCCACAATTGAGCCATTATCCGTGGCCGGAAAGATGGTTCGGTCGAGCACAAATTATAGGTCCATCAGATGGCGGAGACGAAAAAAACCTGAAAAGCAGAACAAGAGTATGGAAGTCGGTGATGGAAACGCCCAATCTCCCTGGTGACCGACCATAAAAGGCTGACGTTCCACTGCCGATAAGAGCATATATTTCGAGCTTCCCTGTTTAACCGATCCGGACGTCTATCACCGAGTAGACAAAAGAACAGCATCAAGATACAGTAGCTGCGATGTTTCTGTTACGCTGTCCTTGCTTTCGAGTCAAATCACATCAGGCTTACGAGTATATGATGAGAGCCCAGCCCAGAGGACCCCAGAGTAGAACATGCAGCTCGCTGCAGGCTGAGGCGGTGAGCGCAGGGCAGCCGGCTATGACAGAATAGAGGACGAGGCTGAGACATTAGTATAGACCGAAAGAGGCATACGACTTCACTATGTAGAAAGGACAGGCGGCAATTTGAAGTTAGCCCCACTGCGCCCCAAATACTCTCATTCGGATATTCTGCATGATCAAACGTCACTTATCGTCTGCCTTTCACTTCAGCTCTTTCGTCGAGGTCAACGTTATATTGAAGGGCGCAAAAAGACTCACCTCATCCGAAAAAGGCCGCGTCCTGCGTAGTGCCCACCCATAATGATGAGTCGAATGCTTAAGTGTTGATGGGTTGGTGAAGGTGAATTTGACGGACAATCTTCCCCATCAGGTGGTATAGACAGCCGTCTGAAGGCGTATACGCTGCCTTCGCCATGTCTTCCTAAACTTTTTTATGGGCTGCATGTTGGCGATAAGACTCAACAACACTCCGAGATGACCTACAATTGTGTCGCTGTCGGCCTCCTGCGCGCGTTCGGCCAGTCCTGCCGTTTCGCGCTAGGAAAGTGATTGATGCCGCCCTGAAAGATTCGAGATGTTAAGATCGTCTCTTAGCTTGGTTAGTTTATTTCGTCGCAGTGGCTCGTCCGAAAAGGCCATTTTGTCACGTCTCAACAACGAGAACCATTTTGAGACGGCACATGTTGTGCAACGCATAACACAATAATGGTCGAGAAATGACCGTTACCACGTGCCATTAAAAGTTATGGAGGTATTACACTCCAATAACCAACCCAATTTGTCCTATAAACGGGGGATCGCGGCCATGTTTTTGACACGTATCGATAAGTAAGGGGCAAACAAGGCAACTGCTGCGACCTGGGACTGTGTATCAGGCTTGAGGTATATAGGACGTTGTTTGAGTAGCCAAAGTAAAGAAGAACGACCAGGGCTAGAGCCTGAGCGCGGGTCTGAAACTGAAACGTAGTCTGGGACACTTAAGACTTGCGTTATGAGTTCTTCATAACAGAGGTATCATACCTCGTCATGTCATTGTCCTGATTCCAACAGCTCGTTGCAAGTTATGCGTTACATTCACTATGTTGCTTCTTCAAAACTCTGACCTATGACACGCCACATCAAGATGAGTATGCAAATCCTACCCCTCAATACTAACGGAACGAAACGCACAGATAATCCAGAATTAAAATCAGCGCTACACGCGACCCCAAGCAGAAGAGTACGAAGAAACTTGTACCGCGGTCACAAGCTCAAGTATCTTGTTGCCAAGTTTGATTGCCTCCAGACTTAAGTCGGAACAGCAAGAATCATGGTTCTGTGTCGCGTATGATAGTGCGTGTCGCCATAAACTTCACTTCGCCCGCGCCTCGTCTGTGCGTTCCAACAGCCATGTGCATACTGATTCCAGGAGTGCCTTGAAATAATAACGTGGATGAGGGATCAACACTTTGTCATTGAATGGAAGACATAACCATGATATCTACTGTATATATCGTGGTGAAGGTCGGCGTCCGGAACGTTGGGGGCAAGTAACAAACATGGCAAACTTCAACCGGGCCAACCAAGCTGACATTGATACGGAATAATTTACAGGTCTTGATTTGAGTAAAGAAAATGCGTTTCGCCCATAGTGCTGCTGGCCGTAAGTTCGTCGACATAGTCAAGGGTAGAGATTACTTAGACGCTCAAGCGCGTACTCATTTCAAGCCTTCGAGCCTTTCAAATTTCATTTACAGTAGCTTTTTTGCCAGGATCCAACGAACCGGGGCATGCCACGAGCAAAAAAGTCTGTAGGTTGGCTAGCATACAGGTGGTGTAGCATCACGTATATAGATCTGAGCGGCGGTTTGGCGGCGGTCATCGTGACATCGATAGTACTGAGATCAACGGCGTATGTGTTACTGCTTGTCCAACATAACTTTGAAGCTAAGAACAGTACCAATCAATAGTGCTCTTCAACACTTTTCTTCGAAAGAGACTGGTAGCGAAAGAGAATCCCAAGCAGTGAAAAATCCGAAGGAGTCAATCAGTTGCATAGAACTGATTGGAAACATAATCAATCCCCGTCCAACTCCTTAGTCAAGTCGTCGCCTTCCAGGAAAAAAGACTGTGACCAACATGATCAATTTCAGTCTTACTCAGAAACGAAGAACTCGGCATACCCGCAGCTCTTCTTCCGTCAGCGCGTCAACGGCGGGCTCAAAAGAGTCTCGTACAGCATTGAACTCAGAATCATGTCGGGATTCCTACACGGTTGAAAACGGCATGATCAAAGCCAAATCTCACTATTGGAGGAAGCTCTGATACAGACTCACATTTGTCGACGAATGTATAGACGAAGAGGTGGAGGCCGAACCGAATGAGAATGAGAATGAATCCGATGCTGATGAAGCGGGGGATGGACCGGGGCTATTTTCAAGTAGCCAACTGTCGGGTATGGGCTCATACGCCGCCCATTTCAGCTGCACAGGAGGAATAGGGATGGGCTGAGTCTGTATCTTTGCATTGTTCGTTATCTCAGTTTCGGATTCTACTGCCTTCTCCTTTCCTTTCGCCAGCATTGATCTCCCGCCTGGGATCGTCTCCACGACTGCACCAGCGTCGACAGGATCAACATCGTCTAGTAGGGAGCGAGATTTGGCAGTCCTCTGTCGAGTTTGAGCCTCCAAAGCATTCCAATCTTGATCCAGAACTTTGGGAAGAAGACATCCATCATTTGCCAGTCGATCTGCGCCTTCGTTGCCTTCGTGGCCTTTGTGTCCGGCGACGTAATCCAATTCGATCTGATCAGACATCAATCGAACTGCACTTGGAAGGGCTGGTTGCAACACGCACCTCCTGGCCCGATGCACTCCTCTCCGCGAGAAGTGCGTCAAGATATCGGATGATACTTTCGTTCTTGACAGGTTCGCCCTTGGAGGTTTTCCACCCGTTTCTACGCCATTTTGCTATCCACTCCCGAAAGCCTAGTTGAAACGTCAGTCAATGCGGTGAAATTGAAGAGGGTAGTCACTTGCAGTCTATGGTATACTTCGAATCAGTCCTGATCATTAGAGGCGTCTTACTTCTCGGGACGGTCTCTAATACACGGATGAGAGCCTGCGAGATCGTGAAGTTAAGCTAGATGGAAACATTATGTAAAGGCAAACGCAACTCACAATGAGTTCTGCGCGATTATTTGTCTGGGCTCCTGGACATCGCTCAGCTGCATTTCTACGAGATCTATAATTGAAGACAACCCAGACGCAGAACGCTTCAAGCTTACCTGTGGTCCTTGGGGCCCCACCACACGCCGATCCCTGCTATCGCGTTCGCTTTGCCATTGTTCTTGCAGGCGCCATCGCAATAAACCGTGATCCAACCTTTCCTCGGGGATGCAGCTTTCTGATTGTCGGTACCGCGCATAAGCCTCGGGAATATTTCTGATTCTGTGACAGGGATTTATCGAGAATCCCACTGACTCAAGTTGGGTGGATATGCCCGCGAGTAACTGCGTAAATTGCGTTGATGGGCAAGTCCTTGGGCAGCAGAGCGGATCGATCGATGGGAACTTACCTCCTGTTGGACAAAGACAGTTATCTGGAAAGGAATGCGTGCGACGAGGAACCAGGGTCGACAGAACTTACGTACCGTCGAAACCGTCGAAGGTGTCAGGCTTCACGTGTCAAGAAGCAGAACCTTGCCTCCATTTGGTCTGCCGGCCCTCATAACGCCGAAATGAAAGCGCATTACGCATTGTTTTCGAATATACTATTGAGAGAAGTACGAAGTTTCCTTCGACCTATAAATGTGCATATGACTGGCTTTAAAATGTCGAAGTCGCGAGGCGTAAGCAGATCCCACTCTGATGCATCTCCTCTATCGGCACGGCCTGCGATCGTCCTTTTGTGTCCTTTGGTTCATTGCTACACACAATCCGGCTGCTCATGCTCTTGGGTATACCATTCTGTGGCAAGGCTCTAATGAACAAACCTGCAAACGAAGAAAGGCACGATTTATCACAGACGATGTTGAATTAGACGAAATAATTCGTACGCGAGATGTGCAAACAGTATGAAAAAAATGTGGTTGGATTTTCTTGACCCACCACTTGTGGTGATCTGAGAAGCGGAAGCCAAATGGACGCAGTTGAAGATGTACCGGAGGGCATTGATGAGAAGCGACTGTTTGATCTTCAGCATTGTCTCTGTTATTCGACCTACGACCTAGAAAATAATTCAGAGAAGGGCTTGTTAAGAACGCCATGTAGTTACCATGAACACCATTATTGGATTGTCCTCCCGGATATCGTTCTGCGATGTTCCTGTCGCCGGGTCGATCAATAGAGAACTACATCGTTGAAGATGAAGACGAACCTTGGGTCCCCTTTGCTCCACCACATGTCAGCACACGCGACAGATCGTGGCTAGCCATTCCTCTTACGCGCCCCGTCCGAGTAGGCTATAAGCCACCCAGGCCTATCTACGAGAGCTTGTCAGTGTGTTGCTCATTGTTTACCTTTCGCAGAGGAGGGTGGCTAACTGTTGGAATAGGGTTCTGACTTGAAGAAGCACTGGCCCTAGGGAAGCCGCAGTAGATAATGCTGAAGAGTTGGATCCGCCGAACTGAGCAATGAACATTTCAGCCTCTGCAACAGAGGTGAACCTCCAGTGTAGTGTTCGTTGGACGCATATTTCACTTAGGCGTCGCATCATCCCTATTCAAACCACGTTCGAAGAAGCCGAGCATAAAACTGCGGAGTACATACCGTGGTTGATAAGTGCCGACCACAGGCGACGGCATAGTCGCTACTGCGAAATCCGCTTTCGGCGTAGCGGAGGACGCGTTATGGTCTCGATAGGGAAACCGAATACGATTTTGAACCTGCGGACGATTCGCGATATAGCAGCCAGGTTGGTGGTGGATAGGAAAGAGTTGATGATCGACAATGATCGAGGACAACGCGAAACATCCACGTGGTGCGACCAAGTTCGTCGAGCTCAGTTGAAAGGTTCCGTTGAGTACTTGAGTGTGTAGTATACATAGCAGCCGATGGGTGCAGAGGATGACTTGCTCGGTATGTACTCAATTCTCTGTTGCTTTGCTGCCAGCGATTTCTCTCGTCATCTTAGTATTTCCTCCTTCATCTGACCGCAGGTCTTTCGACTTTCGGGGTCGTCTCCCTTTTCATCTCGTTTCCTGTCCCTTCTCGTCTCCCTCATCGTTCCTCTCATTCTCTCGACACATCTAGTTGCCACCTTTTCCACCAGCAGCAATCGCGTCAAGCAATACATGCCTGCGTCGACTGCCTCTTGATATACCGGAGATCTCAGCTGACTTGCCTCTTCAGCGTTGTCGTTCGCATTGTACAGACAATTGCACATCCTTGGCGATTCACACGGTCCCTTAGTACCATCGACATCGACGCTCTTGATGCAAGTTACATGCTCGACCTCCCACACGTTGTCCTGCCATGTTCGCTTGCTCTCACAACCTGCTCACAACTACATGCCTCGTCATGGTATTCGTTACATCTCTAGTCGCAGTAAAGTATCCAACGACAGGAATCATCCAGGCCTCAGGCACTGTATATGATGTCACGATCTCCCCTTGACATCCCGACTGCCGTCTCACTCGTTTTCCAATCTCTGTCCCCGCTTTCGAATCAGTCTGCCTATTACAGCCCTGGTACGAATCCAACCGCCTCAACAAGGTTTCTCATCCTCCCTCTCGTATCTCCCTCTCGACGCAACTTGTCAATACATCATACCACCACTGACGGTCTCGCAGCGTCCTTCTTCGGCCAAGGTGTGTTACAACGAGACGAGACACGTTTTATTGTGCTTATCCAACTCCATCAATATACTGCTATTCGTTTACTTTCCGGGTCCCACCACGGTTGCGATTCCTGGATTGCATTCGCTGTCCTATGACCAATCCCCCTCATCTTCTCGAATCGCATTGCTCGACCAAGTCTACACTGGGCGGCTGTGTTGGCTTTCACAGGATCTGATCGTGTCGATGCTCAAACAATCGTTTCGCATCTGTGACTCTGCGAACACACGGCATGGATGGCATCGAGTCTTCTGCCTAAGAACAACTTCTCAGCACTGGCCTTTTCAGATGTAAGATCGACGGACTTCCAGACTCGACGGCACTGAGGTACCCTTGCATTTATCATGGTTGCATTTTCGCTGGCGTCCTCCTGCTGATCTCTCGGACACTCGACCGAGCCTGAAACTCGATGATCCAGGACTTCGATTGCGTGGTGTGGACAGTCAGGGTGCTCGGGGATGGTCATGACAACATTGAGACCACAGTCAACGAATCTGAAGGCCGGTTGTTGTTGTATGATGTGGATGGGAGATCTCAGAGTGTACGTCTACAATACTTTGATAATCCACGTGGGCGAGTTTTAGCAAATCGCACATCTCCACTCGTACTCGTGTGCATCATGCCGTTGGGCTCATTGGCGGTGCAACCTGACTGCGCACACTTGGAAGATATTCGGACCACCTCACACCTTCTCGTCTTGTTTCGCTACGTACTCGCGTCCTGCCTTCTCTCACTTCGCATCGATTTGTGTCACTTTGCACGATGGCTTCTCTACCCACTGAATAAAGTCTCATTCTCGTAGGCTCCGCTGTCTCCACTATGAACGTTTTGAGCCTTCGCATGCCGAAAGGCCCCGTGTGAAGTCATCGGGGTGAGTTTGTGATTTGGATGGGTGTTGGTTGCTATGAGATCGGTTTGCGAGTTGAGGAAGAAAGCTTCGTGGTTACTAACATTGATCCACCTCAAGTGAGGTCACTGTCATGATGAAGTGATCTGAGCATTACTTGCGAAGATGATGGGATGGATGCTGAACTCTTGGTGTGATTCTTAGCAACTGAGCGGAGTTCCTCAGCTTAGCACATCTGCTCAGATGTTATCAGCAGTGGCCTTATATATACAAGCACTTTGCTTGGATGGTGAGCACTCAGCATCTCTGAACTTTCCTCTCCTTCTGTTTCAACAGTCTCAAACCTTCAGCCAATCCACATCCTACTCTACCATGTTAGAGCTAGATCTCACACCAGATGAGATCATCTCAGCAATGTATGCTATGCTTGCTAGAATAAACAACACATTTAGTGCTAATTGTCATAATTTAGCTCACAGCAACACCTTATAGACTATATCACTTTTGCAGCACTAAGTCTGTTTCATTTGACTTCACTGTCTATTACATCATGTATAATTTATATTCCAGCTCTAACTGTCTATGATGCTACCTTGGCATGGCCTCAAGAATGGAAGTGCATCTGAAAGAGAAAAATTTCTACAGTCACTCTCCTCTATGTGCTCATTAGATATGGCACTATTCTGGATATGTTTCTTGAAATTCTTGATAACTTTTCAATTTTTACAACTGTTTCTGTGAGTCATCATACTTGATAGATTCTTGCATTCAAATTCTAACTATTCTATAGAGGTATTATAATTCTCTTATAATAACTTACATTTATGATAATTAGTATGCTTACTAGCTGTAAAGCTGTGATCATTTTGGACTATATCATTGAAATATTGTGTGCTTTTGCAGTTGCAGGCAAGTGTCTATTGCTTAATGTAATATGCCACAAGTGTTCAATCTTTATTGATCTAGCCTTCAACTGTCTGTGCATCTGGGCCATCTGCAGGCAAAAATGGTTTCTAGTTACAGTTGTATTTTTACTCAGCATGTTTTCTCCAAGTGTCAATATAGTACAGTATATTTCTTTCTTCTGATCTTCAAGCTTCTCACTCTGTATATCTTTATAGTATAACTTTTTCAGATCACAGACTTGGATCATTGTATCTTCAGGGCCACTAGTGGGTTGTTCAGGTGTATTTACTATTCAACAATATCAATAGTGAGTATTTATATCTATAACTGCTATTTTATTACTTACCTTATCTTTAGCTGTTTGTGCTTAGCATTATTATAGCTTGATTTCTGCTAATATGTCTTATTACAGTGCCTATTATAACTAGAACTATATCTGTAGCAACAGATTTGGCAGTACTTATATTCACTCTTCTTGAAACAGTTCACACATGGAGAATTGGACAATCTGCACAGACAAAGACCAAACTAACTACAATGCTGATATATAATGGTATGCTATCTATCACTCTGCAAAGTATAATATTAATCTAGATTACTTGCATTTGTGCTTTAGGAGCACTTCAATTTCTGTATGTTCTCTCAATTCTTTATCAAAATTATAGTTCTAAAGTCTTCTTACTCTAGCATCTTTTTGATACTGAATACTATTTCAGTGATACTGGATAAACTGGCAGTTGCAGTATTATTCAATGTGAGTATCTTTATTTTGTCTTTCTATAGAACTTATCTCTACATTTTTCAATAAAGGCTTCTAGCACTGCATCTATCTTTATCACAATCAATGAGAGGCAGGTTTTTAATTATATTTAGCAGCTACATACTAATTTAATACAGTGTAACCTCAATTCTTCTCTGTCACTTTCTTCTGGACTTGCGCTCTGTCAATGAATCAGGCAGCACTACCTCCAGCTCTAACCACCAAGATTTCACTGGCAGTATTCAATTTGCTGGCTCAATTATTGGCAATATAGGTGCCACAGTTGATGC